GTATTAGATAACTACTAGTATGGTATATAATTAGACCCTATTGCACTAAAAATGTGATTTACGAAGGAATTAATGCTGTGGTATTTTTGCATTAAAGAGTACTTAATCCATTACTCTAGTCAAATGGAAATTTTAATTTCATATAGACAGGATTAGATTATTCTCTTTAAAACCACTGGCAGAAAAGGTAAATAGTAGCTGGACGGATTTTCTTTGCTTTTACTATACATTCAGATTTTTTGAATTTCTACTTTGGGCAGCTAACATGTTATTACAGATCTAATTTGCGGAAAAACCCTTCAAAATAAATTGACTTTAAAAATGTTTCTAAGTTGCTATGTCTCTCTTGAAAGATCTAAAAACCAAACTATGATCCAAAAATTGTTTTATTTTTTTTAGAGGGATCAAACTCAGAACCTTGGCATATCGGGATGATGCTCTAACCAGTGAGTTATCCAGCTAGGGCCCAAAATACCTTTTTAAAAACTAGCCACAAATAATGTTTTTCCCAGACCACTGGTCCTCAAATTATTTTTCTTATGGAAAACTAGTATGCTTCCAATTATGCAGTACCTAGCATATTATAGGTATACTAGGAACCCAGTGCAGGAATTCACGCACCTTGAAAGGAATTGTGGGCCGCGAGGCTGCGGTAGGCACAGGAGCAGGTCTCAGCCCATCCTCTGCACCCCTGCCCGGCCCCTCCTGCAGTGGCCCCCAGTCTCGTCTACCTGCAGCCCCGCTCCCATGTGCTGATGGGGTCTGCCCCGCTCGCACCTGCTGCCGGAGCAGAGTGGTTAGGGCCAGAGCCAGCAGTGGGTGCGAGTGGGGCGGTGCCAGCAGCAGGTGCGAGTGCCCGGCGGGATGGTGGCGCGTGGGAGCAAAGAATTTTCAGTAACCACCAGAGGCTTGCCCTGATGACAGTGACAGGTGCCCCGCCTTGGTCTGGAGCTCCTGCTCACCTGCTCCACCATCCCGCCGCAGCCGATACCCACCATGTTCTGCGCATGCCCCATGGTGGTCAGTGCACATTATAGTGACCAGCTGTTCAGTTGTTCCGCCATTTGGTCTATTTGCATATTAGAATTTTATATAGAGAGATAATCAACTCTTCAATCTTTCAATGAGATGTTGTCCTAAATTAATAAATTTTAAAAATTCCTCATTGTAGAACAATTCACCACACTAAAATGACATAGTGCTTTAGTATTAGTTCCTTTTAGTTTTTTTCTACATCACCAAAGTACAGTTTTATTCACTTTTAATTGCAATATGTCATCAAATGTTATAAGCCATAACTGACTTAACCATATTCTTACTGTTAAGATATTTTGCCTGTTTCAATGAACAATGCATTTATTTTAAGTTACTAAAAGCACGGTATGGCACAACAGAAAGTTAATATATATCATTAAAACCAACAATAAAAATCCAGCAATATCACAATTTACTGATTTATTAGCTGAACAAACATATCCATATAATCAATGAAATTATATGATATATAAAATAATAATTTAAGAAATGTTGGGAATTAGCAGCACCATCCATTATTGAAATAGCAAGAAAAACTTCACACATATTTTATGCAAACACTAGAAGAGGGTAACTACTTGAAGGCCTAATAATGCCACTGAGTGTTGGGGATAACTGAGAGGGGCATTTTTTTTTTTCAGGGAAAGAAGCCTTCTATTCCAAAGATTTAGTGAGTATATCTGATGATTTTTTTTTTTAGAAAAATGCTACTGAAATAAAAGATAGTGCATAGTATTTTAATCAGGACACGGAGGCTAAAAGCTACTTCTCTTCTATGAAAAATTTAGTTCTGAATTATGAAATTAGAAATAAAAAATACTTTTTA